CCCCAGACATGGATATGGTGAAGTTAATTGTTAAGAAATAAAGCTACAGGTTAACAAGTTAAAGAAGAAAATGTGACTCTATACAACTATATTTCATCAAATACTTGAAAAATATTACTCTGCTACATCATTTCAAGAATAAATTAAAAAGACAACTCTAAGTTTTAAAACTTTATTTTAAGTCTAAGATGGATGAATCCATTCACCTGAAATTAAGCATTCTTCCGACATTTCCTTTTACATGGGCATAACATAGTCAGGAAATCCCCATCCCCTCCAACTCAGCCCCCCAACATTGCACTCCAGAGCTCCTCGCCCTTTCCACTGGGCTCTCTGGATACACAGGTCAATCTTTTCCTTTCCCACTTCTTTTCACCTTCCAGCTTCGAGACATGGACTCCTTCACATCTGAACCTTCCTGATCACCCTTTCTAGCACGGGTTGAAATTGTCAATCACTCCCCACCTCCCACCCTCCATTTACTGATCAAGATGGGGAACTGGAGTACTTCTTGTTCCCCATTTTCACTTCCAGCCTCTCTATCAATATTACTCAGTAATCTTTCCTTCTTTGAAGTTCACTCAAACCATATCTACTGCCCAATCAAAATTTTGGTAGCTATTTTCTATCAATTTACAGGACATTCTCCTTTTCTCCTCGATGAGTTTGGTGCCTAGTTCACACTTTTGTGCCCAATTTTATGGCCCAACTCCTGCCTTCATACTATGGAACTTCACCATACATACTGATAGTCCCAGGGGTAGCTAGGTGGTGCAGTGGATAGAGCTCTGGCCTTGGAGTCAGGAGGACCTGAGTTCAAATCCTATCTCAGACTCTTGACACAGACACTAGCTATGTGACTCTGGGTAAGTTGCTTAACCCTGACTGCCTCACCAAAAAACACAAAAAATGAAGGAAAAAAGTACCTCTCATACTGATAGTCCCTCAAGCAGCCTTACCTCCCAGTTCCTGAACTTGCTCATTTACCATGACCACTTCTTCACACCACCTCAGTTACAGTCATACTCTTAATCTTTCCATTACTGACAAATGCATCAGTTTATGAACTATTACAATCTGTTGCTATTCTATGTCTCCTTTCTTGCAACCCCAAACCCTGTTCTTCCTAATCTTGACTTCCAATCGCTTGACCCCTTAGTTTTTTCCCAGGTCATAACGCCTGAAATGCCTACACTCATACTCCCTTTTCCATCTTGACCTGAAAAGTAAACCAATTCAACTCTACAATGTCTGCTTCTCTTGAATCCTTTTCTCCATTACCTTATCACTGACCTTGAACTCCAAACCTTAGCTACAGATTACTATCACCATCTAATGGCTTGCTGCCAAACAAAGCCGGAGAAATCCATGAAACCATACTAATAAGTGTATTACAAATTTATGTTACATAATTTCAAGTAGGTCATCACTGCAGTAAGACAATCTTTTTATACCTCCTTAATTAACTCATATCCCAATCATCAAAGCAAGTTCTTCAAAACCTTTTCAACACACCTAATATCTCCCTTACCATATTCTCCCCCAGCCTCTCAGCTAAGAACTTTGCCTCACATTTCACTGAAAAAATTGAGGCCATTAGCTAAGAATTAAACAGGGAGAGACTGAAGATAAGTGAGGAAATGGGGATGATAAAGAGGGCAATCTCCTAGAGAAGGTGGGATGGCAACATGGATTGGCAAGGAGAAGGAGCCACTTCATTATGTGAGATGGAGTGAAGGCAGAGACAGTGGCAGGAAGCATACAGATGATATGAGATGAGGAGAGGAAAAGAGGAAGCTCTCAGTGGATGGTCTCAATTTTTTTCAGTGAAATATGAGGCAAAGTTCTTTTTATTTGGGGGTAAATATAAGATTTTGAGTTTCAATTTTTTTCTCCCTCCTTCCCATCCCCCAACCCCAAGATGACAAGCAGTCTGATATAGGTTATACATATGCAATCATGTAAACATATTTCCACATTAGTCATGTAGTGAAAAAAGAAACAGAACAAAAGGGAAAACCATAAAAAAAAAAAAAGAGAGAGAGAGAAAATAGTATGCTTCGATCTGCATTCAGACACTATAGCTCTTTCTCTGGATGTGGAGAGCATTCTCCAACATGAGTCTTTTGGAATTGTCTTGGATCATTGTATTGCTGAGAAGAGCTAAGTCTATCATAGTTGATCCTCAACCAATGTTGCTGTTACTGTGTGAAATGCTCTCCTAGTTCTGCTTACTTCACTCAGCATCAGTTCATGTAAGTTTTTCTGAAATCTGCCTGCTCATCATTTCTTATAGAACAATAATATTCCATTACATACCTATATCACAACTTGTTCAGCCATTCCCCAATTGATGGACATTCTCTCAATTTCCAATTCTCTGCCACCACAAAAAGGGCTGCTACAAATATTTTTGTACATGTAAGTTCTTTTTCCTTTTTTATGAACTCTTTGGGATACAGACCTAGTAGTGGTATTGCTGGATCAAAGGGTATGCACAGTTTTATAGCCCTTTGGGTATAGTTCCAAATTACTTTCTAAAATGGTTGGGATCAGTTCACAACTCCACCAATAGTGCATTAGTGTCCCAATTTTCCCACATCATCTCCAACATTTATCATTTTTCTTTTCTGTCACATTAGCCAATCTGATAGGTGTGAGGTGGTACCTCAGAGTTGTTTTAATTTGTATTTCGGTATTCAATAGTGATTTAGAACATTTTTCATATGACTATAGAAAATTGAAGTAATGCTGTTGAAGTCTGGTATTAAATTTTTTTAAATTTTAAAACAAATGAATAGGTCAGTGAGACAGTTTTGTTGTATACACTAATAAATTTTCATATAATGCCCATGCTTATGCTTACCAAAATTTTAATATAATTCTCATATTTGACTTTCCAGGTCCTTGTCCACATTGCCTCTCAAAGAATGTTTATTTTAATAGAGAAGGGAAACTTAATATTATGTTCTATTTAGTGCCCAGCATATTATGCCTATGCAATAAAAACTGATTAATATTTCCTTTAGAATACACCTGATATCAGATCTTGGACTAGATATAGTTACAGAGATCTTATTCTTACCTTTACCTTCTGCCATTATCTTGTAACCACTTTATCATAACAAACTCTCAAGTTCAAAAGGATTACATTTCAAAATGCTTTACTCAATTACTTCGGTTTCACAAAGCAAGTTATACAGAAACTCTAAGTGAAGATCTTTTTTCTTTCTAACATGCCCAGATTCCCATTTTATCTCTCTCACTCTCTTGCCAAAGGCTGAGTCTCATCCACAAATTCACACATAAAATAACCAAAAAACATCAGTCACAGGAGTATTCATTAGGTACTGAACACAACTTTGCAGTTAGCATTGAAACAAAGAAGACAAATTTTTTTCTTGTCTAAGTGTGAAATGAATCTAGAAATTTCTGAAATCAAGAGTACTGAATGAACAAGTAAAAAAGTGATATAAAAACTTAAGCACTAACATCACACAATCAAGAAAGATAACTGGAAGACAAAGATTGTATAAATCTTTATACTCCAACCTAAAACATAAAATAAAAAAAAAGTGAAAAATGTTTTTAACATATTAATTTTAGTATTTTAAAAATATCTTTAAACTACACTAAGACTTCTGAAACAACCTCTACTTAACACCTACTATGTTCCCAGCACTGTACTATATATTAGGTGTAGAAAATTACATGGTACTTGACCTCAAGATAATCTTATTGGTGATTCCATGGTCTGATCACTGATCTATTTTCTAGCAAGTAATAACTGCAATGAGATATTTTTCCAAATCCAGATTTTTCTTGTAGCTATGCTGCTTCAATCAAAGTCAAATTAATCCTTCTCCTAACTATAGTATACTATTTACCAGTTTGAGGAAATAAAATAAAAAAACAAGACTTAATGGAGTAATTGGCTTCTCTGTTCTAGGATCACACCCAAGCATGTAATTTTAACTTGTTAAGGTTACTGAAAAAAATCTAGAAAATTAGGATTTCATTTTCTATAGCAATTTCTATTTGCAAAACTCAGATGAAATTTGTCATAGTGGATAGTGTTGGACTTAGAAACAAGAAGACTTGGGCACTGTGAAAAGAGCACTGAAGGTGCATTCTAAAGACCTGAGTTTGAATTCTGGTTCTGCCAGTGACTACCTATGTAACCCTGGGCAAGGCACTTTTATTCTCCAAGCCTCTGTTTTCTCATCTTTAAAGTTCAAAGGTTGGAGTAAATGTTGGGTCCCTTTCAGCTCTAAATCTGTGATCTTATATACACACACACCCACGCACCCTCCCCACCCAGTGCACAATATACAAATATACGTGTGTGTGTACATATATATGTGTGTGTGTGTATATATATATATATTTTTTTTATATCTGTATGTGTGCATGCACAGACACACAGACACAGGCACACCCCCTTCTTCCTAAATCTTGCACAAACACTTGTTAGCATAAAGTATTCATCAGCTACAAGGAGAAGACACACCTGTAGTGATGTCTTCAGGTTAGAAAATGACTGGTCAGAGCAAGCTGCCCCCTCTCAGCGACTCATGGCCATTTTCTGTTGAAAGGGAGTTGCTTATAGAAGGACGCCAAGTGAAAAGCTTGGTCCCCTCACTTCCCTGTGACAGCCCACCAATATAAATATAAGGATGCCTGCTGTAGAAAATGAGGTGGTTAGTACCTCATACTGTACAGTTCCAGAGATTTGGGATCAAAGTCAATACCCCTAAAGTTTCTTTTAGATTAGCCATGGAACCTTTCCAGTTAATAGGATTTCTGCCCTGTATTAAAAGAAGAGTTGATTTCAGAAAGAATCTTGCCAGGATGTTTTAAATTTAAATTTTAAAATTCATGTTTTAGTTTCTTCTCCCTCCCTCTCACCTCATATTCAGTCACTTTCAGGATTTCATTTGACACCTGCGTGGTCCATGGAGATTTACCTTCAATCCTGGGGCCGCGCACAGCCTGCTTACCTCTTTGTGGGAATCTTTATGTGCCTCCAGTGTTTTCATGATTGTCAGTTCAGCATAGTTTTTAAATCTTGCTGGTTGGTTTCTCAGAATTTCCCGTAACACTCGCAATGCCAATGCCCGTATCGAATGCTAAGGTGCAAGATGGAGGGAGAGGTGTTAACTATGACTGGCACACAAAGCTTTATTAAATAACACCCCCCCCCCATTGCTTCCACTTCCACTGAGGTTTGACTCATTCAAGAGAAGAGGCAGTAAAAACTTAACGTTTATAAAATGTGCTTGTATGTATAATCAATAAAAGAAACAGAGCAGATGAGGAACAAGCTTTCACGTCGTTCATCTCCTGGAATATCTTCGATTTTATGGAGGAGGGCACTATATTTTGCCTTAAAACAAACAAAAATAAGTTATTTGTCATTTTGCATTAAGTTATTCCCCTTGAAATGCTTCTAGACTCAAGAAATATAGTCAGAGCCTAATCTTACTTTCTGACCCTGTAAATGATGAGGTCATTGGTGGAAAGACTTGTAAAGCTCCTTCAGTTTACTCCTGTCCTCCAATTCTGGATGGTAGCCATTCTAAACAGGACTCTTAATCTCAGAAAAAGAGGATGGAGTTTACACTAAACAGTATCTAAAAGGTACATCCTGATTCTTTGCCATTCATCTGTACAATTCACACACTAACACAACATTTATTTATCCTCCACATGATGTCATTTTATCTTTGACTAAAAAAAGCATCCTAAATCTAATGGCCACAGTAGATGGTATTTTGACTAAAGAAAAGTTTGCACATATCTTTTATCATCTTTCTATCTCTATATCCCTCTAAATCAACCTAATGAAGCAGAATCAATGAACATTTCTGAGTATTTGATTACTACATACTCAAATGTTATTGTAGTCATAATGACATAAAACCAACTCTACAATCAACTGTCATTCCTATACCTTGTAATATCAGTTATTCTAAATTTTTATATCTTACTTTTATATTTAATTTTCTAGGAATTTTCCTTGTCTTGCCCCTTCCCTTTTCTTTCATTTTTAATTCTTAGAATCTATACAAACTCTACTTGGGGTAGATTTTTTAACTTTTGGGATGGAATTCAGATAACTTTCAATATTCATTTACATCTCAAAAATGGGGCCAATTTCATAATATGGAGGAAGCTGGTATCCTAAGTCAAACTGATTGCTTAATTTTTAAATTTCTATAATTTGTAGCAATCAAACTGACAAAGGAATTTAAAAAAATAACACAAATTACATTAACATACTTGGGCATAAGAATGAGGGCATATGATGAAAAGCAGCTCTCAGTATGGTCTGTTTTAAATAAAATATATCATATACTGTCCATGTGTCTTCTGTCATACAAAAATAAAATGTTGACATAAAACTAAAAGGAAATAAAATTGACCTGAATTTGATCTATCCTATGTACACAGAGTTTAAAAGAAGCCACCCCATTTTATGATATAACTGCATGCTAAGTCAAATTTTCATCTGCTATGTACTGTATTGTGGAACCAATCTCTTTACGACACAGGTCTCATAAAGTAAAAGTATCACCCTACAACTTCTTAGAGCAAAAATTTGCTATAATGAAGCATAGGAGTAGGTTTAATTTTGTCCTGACATCAACATTCATTATTAAAGGTTTCTATCAAAAAACTAAAAGTGTACAGGAAGCACAAAAATAACTTAAGCCAAATCCAAAGAAAAAGAGACCAAAAAATGAAAATTAAAGTCCAAAGTAAAATTTCTCACATCTTTATCTCCAAGTGTTTCTAGCAGCAAGAGCAAAATTGTTTTGAAGTGTTCTTCCCAAACTCCTAGGTTATCTTCTCGAGTGATCTTGAGTAATTCTAATAAGGCTCCTTTCCTTTCTTCCACCCGTTCGTTGTGATTTGATAATTCTTTCAGGAGATCAGCTACCAAATCAGAATGGTCAATGGGTACTGTGGGAGAGAAATCGAAAACAAAAAGGGGTTATTCTACAGAGAAAAATCCAACCAGAGAATATTCTGCCTGCTGCCCTGGCCTATTTGAGGTCTGAACAAATGGAGGTAACTGATGTGGGCTGCCATCTTGAGTGGCTTTGAGTCACTCACCAAGATCCACAAGCTCATTCTGTAACATCTCTAAAATTCATCACAAAGTCGAGGAAATAAACACTTATCACCTTCGTGTTTCCCTAACACCAATTTTCCTCAGGAATAAATCTGACCATAACTGAATGAGTGTTCTAGGTTCTAGTAAAACTGGAGTAACCTTGAGGTTAATATTGGAAACTGTATTATTCCTTCCAGTTGTGGGGAAAAGGCCTGGAGGTAGCAAATTAATATTTAAATAACCACTTTTCCTCCCACACAGCCACAACTCTGATAAGTCACACAGGAACTTTACTCTGAAAGGTTAAATGGGAGGAGTTGGAATTTGGGAACAATGTCAACTTTTAGCTTACTTACTGAGCACTACTGTTCTCATGAAGATAGGGAACTTATCAGAGACCAAAACACTGAAAGTTTAGTATGAATAAATACGATGGTTCACCAGAGAGCCCTGTTCTATGAGTGAATTACAAGTAGGTTTCAGATGAAAAATTAAATACGAGGGGCAGCTAGCTCCATAGGCATATTTCTTTAACTCCTGTCATTGGAGTATAGCTGTGTACAGAAATTTTAAAAAAGTAAATCACCTGTACTTTTTCTTTCCTAGCATCTCACCCTTCTTTTCAAGAATAACTTGTGGAACAAAACTGAGATAGGGCTTATTCCAAAGGAAAAACTTCATGCCTGATGGCCTGAACAATCAGATGTAACCAATGAAGGCAGCCATTTTGAGTGGTCTTGATTCATTAATCAAGTTCTGTATTGACAAAAAAAATAATCATAATACTGACCAAAGGAAAGTGGCTATATGTAGGGTGACCTTTTGGCTAATGATATATACCAAATCATTCAGCAGATAAACAGGTCATAGTCCATCTCTTCTCCCCACAAAAGGCTTTCTTAATAATCAAATGAGATAATATATGTAAACCATTTTGCAAACCTTAAGTGTTAGCTATTATTATCACAATAACAATGATGTAAAGCTTAACAAAAATATATCAAAGTATACACTGAAAGTTACCTATGGCAATAAGAGAGGTTTGACCTATCCTCTAAATAATAACTGAAAAGAAGCCTTCCCATTTTATAGTATAAATTGCATTAGAGAATTGTCTAGGGAAATAATAGGTTAAGTGACTAGTTTGGGGTCACAAAGCTAATATGTAATCAGGTGGGATTTGAACCCAGATTTTTCTGACTCTGAGGCCAACTCTCTTCCAATGGACACAGTACCTCTCAGACTCTAAGTGGCAGAGCAGGTGTTGATTACATTTGTAGAGTGAATTTCTTTCCTAGAAGTTCCCAATGCCAATGAAATCACAAGACCAGTTTCCTCAAAATACTGATCCTAAAGTTTATTAAACAGTTCACTGATTTAACTGTTTTTTTGAGGGGGGTGATGGTCTTAGACTTAAAGACTTCTGTCACAAAAAAAAAAAAAAAGCTTTGGGTAGAAAATAGTTAAATACGGTTGTGTGTTCATCACTGTCAACAGTCAAAAACCCTAACTCAGCTAACATTCATTGAGCATCCACTACATTCAAGGCATTGTCAACACATCAAACTCCCTCAATGACCTAATCAACCATCAGATGAAGGAATAAACAATAAGGTTTCATGCAGGAATATTGCCACAGAACAGTATACTAATGTCTTGAGCTCTGATGGACATTTGACATAAGATAAAATGAGGCTTCTATCAAATACTATTTGTAAAAGTACGTAAGGTAGAAGTCATACTATACAAGGGCCTTATAAATGGAAGAAAGAAAACACCCTCATTAAAACACTGTTCTAATACCATAGTAGGGTAGGTTAGTAAATAGTGTTTTAGGAATGCTATTCCCAGTTGCTTGCTAAACTGAGAAAGTTCAAGTGTCATATAAAGGAATGAAAAGATGAATTCAGAGCATAAAAGCTAAAATTCTCCCCAGAATGTGAAACCTCTATTTGATCAGCATACCCAGAGCTTGGTTCATAGAACATAAAGCAAAGAAAAGCTGTTTGATGAGAATGGGATGAAATTCAAGAAGGAAACTAACCATCACGAAGTTGATCCATGTCATCATCAAATACAGCTTCTTTCAGAGCTGTCTTGTCATAGGTGTTGATTGTATCTGAGTAAGGATAGGGATTGTAGTCTCGAGCTCGGGGTCCTGTGAAGGCTCGTGGAGGCTGGGTGTTGAGGAGTGAGGTTTTGTTATCAAGAGCTGTCCTTCCTCCTTCTACCACATCACTTCCTCCACGCAGATCAGTGGCAGGCGAAGCTATTCCACCATCTCGTGAAACCTGAAACAATTAGGAGATAGCACCCCATCCCCTCCAATCAATAAAATTTTAAGATTTCTTTTTCTTTCCTTGGTTTTTCTTAAGGAAATAGAGAAGGCCCAAGACTGCTCATTAAGACTTTGACTATAGGGGCCCAAGGAGAAGAACTTGAATTTATCAGTATTGATGAAAAAGTGGATGATAAGCTTTTTATCTATTTTAATATCTAATTAAAATATAACAATAGGACCAAAAAGTGTTTCTATTAAAATATACACTTATCTATATGCATATGAAATTGACTCTACTCATGGTGAATAATAATTTCTCTTTGTTGAAAAAAAAAATGGTTTTGAAAGAACTACAGATAGCCTTTGCCAACGAGACTGGTCACTACTGAAATATACATTATGGAATTCTGTGTTACAATATGGTAGGATACATGGAGGAAATTAGTATTTTCTATGTTTGAGTGACAGAACACTATCAGAAAGATACACTGAACTAGTGGCTGAAACTTGCAGATTGAATAAATTCACAGCATCACAGGTTTAGAACTGGATATGACCTGAGAGATCACCTAGTCCAACCATCTTCAGGTAAAGGAACTGAGGCCAAGAGAAGTCAAGTGTCTTGACCAAGGTGACACAGGTGGCAGACCTGGGATCTGAACCAGGGTTCTCTGATTCCAAACCTACCACTCTCCCAATCTTGAACTACATTCTTTACTGTCACTGTGGGGAAACAAACGCATGAATGAATCAATGAATAAATGAAATTCTGTATTCAGCAATTCCTCATCAAGGTGGTAGTTAAGGATGACTGCTTATTTCATATGGCTTTGAAAAATGTGTTGAACTGAGATCCTTTAAGGAAAAGTACTCCAACTATCTAGAACGGGATAGTATAAAAGTGTTGAGGATAGCAGTCTTTACTCAAAAATACAGATGGATAGATCTTTTGAAATAATAAACTGGGAATACTTACAATATCACAGTCTTTTTTGCCATCCCGCTTAATAGGCTCATTCAGATCTTCCTGGCTCCGGAAACTAAACTTTTCTATGGCTTCTGTTACTCCCCGAAGAGAGCTGTAGATTTCATCTGAGTTCAAGTTCTCTGTGTCATAGTCCAGCATGCTAAAGATAAAAGGCATGACAGATTTTTAAATGGGGCATGGGCATTAAGATTTGACTTTGAATTGGTAGTGCCATCAATTTACAGAGTGGGGTACACATTTAGAATTTTGTTTCTAAGAATGACTTGCAATGAAATAGAGTCTCTTGGTAGATTATCTTTTTAAAGACCCCACTATTGGAAGCTACTTTTTTTTTTCTCTCAGAAAATGTCCTCTCAGTAAAAAATTTGAACCCATAAACATGAGTACTCTAATAATCAGTGAGAAACATCAATAACTGTATGAATGCAAGAACTCAAAATAGTGACAACTGGTGACTTAATGTACAGAGTTAATGAAAGTGAAAAGTTTGCTTTCATACCTCAAAAGGTGAAAAAAACTTTTTTGGTGTTACTGGTCTCAAATGTACAAACATAAATCAAGAAGAATGGCCATCTCAAAATAAAGCTAGTTTCTCATAAATTACATAGTAGTAATATAGAAAACAATAAGACTGGGTTAGAAAAAGTGAAAAGTTATTTTTCCTAGTGGCAGAAAATCATAGAATTTAAAGTTTGGTGACTCATAGTCAGATCTATCCTAACAATCAAGAAACTTAATTCTTATGCTACCTACCTGAACTTAACTGAGAACTTTCAGGCTATTCTGAAAGGTTTTAGGGTTAGTTTGCAGCCTTAAAAGAGATGTAGATGCACAATGGGTAAAGCTTCCAGGCAAAGATGCTACAGAAAAGAACTAGAAGGAAATCTGAGAGACTTGATTAGTCTAACCCCACCTTCCCCAACAAACAAAAAATACAAGCAAGTGGCATCAAAGCAGGGCAAATTAACTCAAAGTTTTAAATCTTCTTGGACTCCTCAAAGTACTTCAAAACATAAATAAATTCTTACACACCAACTGCTTTCTTTTCAGACTTTTTTTTTTTTTGAACCAAACTACAAAAGACAGAGAAAAGGAAATGTAGGGCATTTGGTCTTCTCAAAGTATGGCCTAATGGCCTAACAATTTATGAAAAGAAGACAAAAGATTCCAAGAGAATTTCAAAGGAAGAATCATTTTCCTAACACAGAATATCAAACCTAATGGATAGATGGATCAACTAGGAAAAAACAAAACAAAACCGAGCCACCAAGTGTGCTCTGGAAGACATTAGGAATACTCCAGGAATTAAACTTCATGAATTTTAGGAAAACAATGAAAAAGGAACAGATGCCAGCCTCTTGAGCATTAAAAACTTGCAAAAAGATCATCTGATATGCATGGAAGAGGTCAGGGTATGCCTACAATATACTTGATTATATGCCAGTAAATGTTAATGTTATTAAAGATCAGAGCAAAGCTATACCTGAATTTTGCAAAGGCCATTTGAAATGTATGGTAAGAAAATGATCAAGTGAAAAAATAATGTATCTGTGTTGCAATGTTTTAGGAAAAATCAGATTCCTTAAAGATCACAGTCAACTCTGTCCAGTCCCTGAAAGGTAAATGATCTACATAACTCTGAAAGGATTTTGCTATTTTTTTTAGAGTACCAAGGCAGAATATGGATAAGCTCCACTCACTAAGTATTGCCAGGATTCCAAGTGTACCTGTTTATAGATAAGATTTTGAGAGAATCTGGTTCTTATTCAGAGATGAGGGTACACATTCAGAGGTGGCAGAGTAATTTACCTAAGATCACAAAAATGGTGGCAGTACAGTTGGTGAAAAAATCTAAATGTCCTGTGGTCAGAGCAGTTATTAATCATTTTTCTTCCATGGAGAAGAAGAAAACACAGGATGAACTGTCAGGAAAGCTCACAAAAACATCTGCCAACTTAGATATTTAGTCAAAAGGTTGGCTGTGACATCAAACAAAAAGAAACATGTGTACTTAAACACGTTTGCAGCTGAAATCTGATGCATGCACGGACAGGAGGTAGAACCAGAACCTGAATGAAGTTCAAGATTTCAGCACCTTTCAAGTTCACAAGGTTATCTTGCTATGTAGCAATTTGAAAGACAGAGGTTTTCAGAAGATGTGTAGGAGAAAAGCATAGTGGTTTTTTTCTTCTTCTAAAAACGGCTCACTTTACTTATATGTGAAGAAAAGCATTTATACATCTGGCCAGTACATTTGTGTTTATGTAAAAAGATGATAAAAAAAATATACACAAGATGGGAAAAAAAATGCCTTAAAAGACTGCTAATCACAACAACCAAAAATAATATAGTGGCCCATGCATAAAACAGTGACAGGATGAACAAGAGGAGGTTGTAGAGATATTCAGCTTTAAAAGGATGTCACAATATTATTTTTCACATGTTGCTTCAAAAAATACACTAAGCCTTTGGACAATTGAATTTTTTTGAAATGTCCATTTCAGATTGCACAGAGCATACTACAATTGGCATCAGAGTTTCTAAAACAGAAAAACCTACTGAAGTAATTCTGCTGTTTGGGGATTTCTTGTTCTTATTTTTGATTAACCAATTAAGAATTTTAATTTAGAGCATTCTGCACACAATAAAGAAAATTTTATGGCAGTAATGTTTAAATAAAACCCATGCTTGCAGTAACTTTAAGATTCTTAGATACCAGTGATATGAGGGTTTTTTTTTTTAATACAAGTTAACAAATTTTTAAAGGTTTACTTATCACTGTCAGCAGGCAATGTGCTTTAATTGCTATTTCTATATTTCTTGGCTTGGCTCTTCATTTGCTTGTCTAACTTTTAAATGGTCCATGAAATTACATAAATTATAATATTACCATATTGATGATGTTATGCAGTGGGCCTTTGCAATGTTAAATAAGGGTCAGGAAGGACAACTGAAGATCATCAACTTAGAGCTGGAAAGGACCTTAGAGGCCATAGAATCCAATCTCTTTCTTTTGGGGATGGGGAAATTTTGAAGTACAGAGAGGTAAAGTGACTTGCCCAAAGTCACATGGCTATTTAGTGTCTGAGGAAGGATGTGAACTCATGTCTTTCTGACTTTAAGTCTACTATACCATCCAGTTGCCCATACCGAGTTAAAATAGATATGTGTCCCACTCTACCATCCCCTGTATCTTTTGGACTATTCAATTTCAGTCTGATTCTGGGGTTTCATACAACCCCACAGGTTAATATTTGCATAATGGGAATAATGATTTATTACCATTTCATTTAATTCAGAATATGTGCTTCATATTAATCTATTTTTGTAAAAAACTTACAGTTTACCAAGTGCTTTCCTCAAAACAACCTTATGATATGGGTATTGCAAGAATTATTACTTACAAGTGGCCAGACTAGGGGTAAGCATCTTTACAAATAAAAATACATAGATATTACATTTAATACTGAATTAGGCTTACTGAGTGAATGCTCATCAAGTAAATTGAGCATCAAGACTATGCATACACAAAGACATAGTGCCCCATTTTCACAAAATTTTGAGTGTGGAGAGTTGGGAGCAAAAGAAAAGGATGACCTCTGGGAGTCCAGACTCTGAAAGTGGTAGCATGGGGCACAAACTACCAGTTTCCCCTGCTTCATGGATAAAGACAATGATAAGATAAAATGTCAAGCCAGTCACAATTTGAAATGCTCCCACTAAGGCTATTCTAATAAATAGAACACATTCTATGAAAATAGTATTAGCAAGTGGGAAATCAAATTTTAAAATTCAGAGGCAGTATTTTGACCTTAAAGGAGTACAGAGACAAAATGTTTGCAAACAGAACAACCGGGTCTGGTTACCCCATTTATCCTAATTTTTGACATTGCTATACTTAGACACAGGATCATAGGAGTTAGAGCTTGAAAGGGCTGCAGAGGCCCTCTAAGTTCAATCAGATAAGGAAACTAAGGCTTAGAGGAGAAGAAATTATTTGCCTACGGTCACACAGTCTACTAAGTAGCAAAGTAGGTATTTAAATTTAGGTTAGATCCCAGATCCAGTGCTAATGAGGTTGTTTGTAAAATTTAAATTACTTTGAAATTTTGTCAGGTACTCCAAAAGACAAGTTCTATTAAAGTACATGTGTTGTCTGTGTTTGTACACAGGCTCACACACACACACATAACACACATAGCTGATACTTGAGTACTGTAGGGTCTGTCCATTTTGTGGATAATCAAGATGGTGCAACTGCCTAAGGCGCATTTCAAAATCAAACACTGACTAAATGATGGTTGGTTGGATTACCTGTAGGAATTTTGAATCATTAAGTTACTACTCCTCTCTCTGGATATGATTAAGGGATGCCTGTAAATGGATTCTCAATTCTGCATGTCTCTATCAGACTCTGTCAAAATAAAAGAATCTTGTGATGCTTCATGTATTCTGCTGCTATGTACTACAGTACATTTCTGGCCCACATTTCTTTACTCGCAACAAAGGAAAATTCCAAATAGTGTACATGGTATCAATTTTGCAACAAGCGCATGGGTCTACTGAGGCAGTTTTTTACACCGGGAGACAATACATCTCTGGTACAATTCAATGAATTATAAATTGCTCTTGGATTTTCCTTATACTTGTAGAAACTATCACTCTAATGTGATGGGGAAGACTGGCATATTATGAAATGATAATCCATATAATCATTAGTTAATTATTACTGGTGTCTCTGCATAGGTCAAAGAGAAGTAATGACGCTTATGTTTAATTTCTAAAGGACAATATCATATTAATTTTTGAGGGGGTAAATTCCTGTACCTATAGAAAAAGAACTAAGGCAACATGACACATTTTCCCTCTCCCTCTAAATCTTCTGTCAGTCAACAAGCTTGAGTACTTTCAGGGCTAGTCCTTGTTAGGGTATTTTGGATAACGTGTGCAAATGCAAGAGTAAAAAATGGCTTCAAGATTTTCAGCTAACAAAATGGCAAGGCATTTCACTGATAACAGTGCTGGCTCTCCACACACCTTTTCTACTCCAGCCATCAGGTGTGGAGGCAGGGGCCCCCTTTGAAGCGCTTGATCAACTTTCATAGAGAGAAATAAGCTGACTTTAGAAATGCAATAATA